TCTCTCTTTGAATAACATAGCAATCGTCAACATAGGAAGGTGAGCTTATTTGCTTTGCTAATCCCCTTGAACGCAGTTTATATTAACATCTAATGCATATATTTTACAAAATATTTCACAGCCTCCCGGATCCCTTTTACTATTCCTACACCACAACTCGTCAAAAAGACACGTGAAATCAATCCTTTGATCAATTGTCTGCTAAACAGTTATGGTATCCTACCTGTCCTGATGTATTCCCCCTATCCTATATCCTCGTAGGAAACCTTCACCATCAAAATTTCTTACTTGCTTATTTAAACCTGGTTCTGGTGTGCATTGTGAGCAGATTTCGTGAGACCTAGGCACACTTTCTGATGACTCCCTCATTTTTATCTATGCTGAGAATGTTGATCTGAGTCTGTCCTATTAGTCCGTAATCCTTTTCCCATAGATCCTATCAGTCTTTCTCTTTCCCCGTTGCAGTGATTCCACGCGATCACTACCAGCATATCCATGCTATTCAAGGCGTTTTTTCCCTCAAGCCTTTAATAGAACGTATACTCCCGCCTTATTGAGCAGACAAATAATGTATGGATTTTCAAGCTGGATGGGAAACTAACTATAAGCTATAGAGCCCCTTATCACCATTCGACGTGTGCACTGGGTAGGTCTCCTAGCCTAGCCTTTGTTCCATGGACCACGTCTATGATCAAACACGCAGTGTCAGCCAACTATCTCAGCCACATCTATCGTGGCAAATGTATGACTTGAATGGCAAGGCGCACTGGTGATGCCAGCGAAACGTATGGGAATGTACCAGGTCCACAACCCGACTCAGAAAGTTATCATGCATACTATGAACTCGTAAAAAGGTAATTTATTCTAGGTCTTCTTGACAATATGACCTAGTTGCGAAAATAAGATCAAACAATTTCTTAATGATTATATAATGGACTGGAAAATATAGGTGATTTGATAAATAAGCGAATAAATTTCAAAGCTATGAAGAGAAGCTGGGTTTTGAAGAATCCCTTAATTGATTGATACTGGCATACCCTTCATTTCGTTTAAGATGACGGGTCGAGGGGATTCGTAGATTGACCTCACCGGATACCGCAGGAGGATTGCCTTGGACTTTTGTCCGTTGAACTGTACGAAGAAAACCTCGACTCACCGTCCTACGACCCCGATGACTCCGTGCTGAGCTTCGTGACAGACATAGTCAGAACCAGAACCATGGACGAAAGCTCAGCAAGGAGTCATCGGGGTGGTAAGACGATGAGTCAAGGTTTTCTTTGCACAATTCAAAAGGCAAAAGTACAAGACAACCCTCCTGCGGTTTCTGGTAAGGCTAATCTACGAATCCCTTTGACCCGCCTTCTCAAACGAAACAAAAGGTACGACAGTATAGATTTGAAAGCTGTTAGAAAGAGTGTAAAATATTAAAGGAAATAGAGTTAATATATTAATAGTTCTTACACGAGTCGGACACCATCCCTAAGATCCACAGCCAAATTAGTGGTAAGCAAAGGATATTCGTCAAGCTGAGTCTGCTCCACTGCATGTCTAGCGCCCAGACAAGCCAAATGAGAGGGCAGATTGGTCTCCCTCGAGAGATAATTACGAGAGAAGTTCAAGAGAAGGGCTGATGAAGACTTTCAAAATGTTTAAACGGTGAAAGCGAAAACGTGGGTTTGTATAAGTAATAATGGAGGTAAAACACTTAATGTTTGCATCGCTCAAATCAGATTCATAATAGAAATTAAGAAAATATCGACACAAAGAGAGACTTTGCAACCAGTTTTTATCTTATTTTT